GCATAGCAAATGTCTGTCTGTGAATGGCTCAGTGCGCTTGTAGGTGGGTGGTGGAGCGAGTCAGGAGAGAGAGAGTGGAGGAGAGTGTGTGTGTGTGTGTGTTCGAGAAACTAGTTAGTACCTGAAGTGTATGTACAGTTTGAGTTCATTAACAGCTAACTGCTCAAGAAACAAGCCAGACTCTCCGTGTCTGCTCACTACCTCCTGCTAACCAGTAAATGTGACGGGGGTTAGCCCCGAAGTTGAGAGCTACAACTTCGGCCCTGGAGCTGACCAGTAAGTCTGCCTTGGGCGCCCTGACCACGGACGGAACGCCTAAGCAGAAAAGGTTAACAGTAGGTTAGACCTGTTGAGAACCACAGCTATAAAGCAGACCTAACTAAAGCGGCTGATTGGTTAACTTGTGGTTTAATTTGAAGCATCTAAATTATGTCATCAGATATTTATCTGTACACCAAAGTCTTCTTGGATATGGCAGGATTAATGTAAGTCGAATCAGCAGACACAAACATCCACTGTAGAAACAGTGTCAGAGGACTGGATGAGAGAGGAAAGTTAGCCAAATGTATGTTGTACCAGCTGTGTGTTTGTGTGTGTGTGTTTGTGTGTCTTTGGCTGGTGAGACGTCTCCACGGTTTTACAGCCTTTTGCCAAGGACAAGTGGGGTTTCTATGATGCCATGTTTGTCTCTTTTTAAACACACACCGACAAATCAAATGAAAGACAAGTGAGCACACAGAGCATCACTTTCAGCATTTCTGGCACAGAAGGAACGCGTGGGAGCATCACTGATCAAACACACTCATGAACACAGAGCACACAGAGCAGAAGGGGGGGGGGAGAGGAGAGTGCAGAGGACCGATAGACACTGATACATCACATCGGGATACGGTTAGAGCAGGCACAGAAACAACTCTGGAAAATGAAAAAGGCAAAGAGCACAAGAAGCTTGGCAATAACTTTTAAAAAAAACATAAAACCCAGTATATTGGCAACTTTTTGTTAACCTTTTTTTTTTTTTTTTTTTTAAATAAGAAAAATAAATAAATAATATATCTATAATTGACAGATTCAGCAGTTCCCCACGCTGTGCACTCCAGAGCTGATCGTGCCTCTAAAAACACAAAGTGCACCACAGTTCACCAGAAGAGCAACTCTAATCTGCTCCACTTCAAACATGCCCTTACTTCCTCTTTCAGCAGAGCCCACAGCAAGCTCCCATCAAGCTGGACAGAGCAGGTCACCAGGCGAGGGAATGCAAAGAGCATCTGGTCACTTTTCAAAATAAAACTACTTCTGGTCGGATAACCCAACATTTCATCAACCGTCAAAATTCTACAATTAAATTTTGAGCTGACACTTTTGTCCAAAGTGATGTACATCAGAGAGTAAGAACAACACAGGCGAGGATCTCGAGAGGAGGAAACAACAAAGTGCAAACAAACAGCTTTAAGTCCAATTGGACACACAGGTGCTAATCAGCCTCCAAGCCATCCTAAATATCATCGTCATCACTATCATAATCATCGTCATCAACTCATTATGTGTGAAGGTGTTTATGAAAGAGCTGGGTCTTTAGTTTTCTCTTAGAGGTGCAGAGGGATTCAGTCTGTAGGGACCGTGCGGTTAGGAACTGAAGGGTCGCTGGTTCGAGTCGCGGTGTGGACCAAACTGGAAATTGGTCTGGTAGTTGGAGAGGCGCTAGTTCACTTCCTGAACACTGCCGAGGTACCCTTGAGCAAGCCCCCCTGCAAAATCAGGAATGCTGGCTGCCCCGTCACTCTGACATCTCTTCATTAGTGCATGTACACCGGATCCTGTTTGTGCATGTGTGTGAGTATTTCAGCATGCTTTCAGAGTGTGTAGCATGACCAATAACAGTGTAAAAATGAATATTGCGTTGAACAATAAAGGATATCTTAAAAAAATAGTTTGGTGGTTAGTTCAACCACCAGGGGGCGACAGAGGAGAAAAGTCTAGCTGGATAGAGACTTGGGGCCCTGTTGTGAATTCCTGCTTCATTCTTTGAGGTTTTCAACCTGCCAAGTCTATTATGATCCTGCTCCAGTCTTGTGAGATTCTCATGGCCTCTTATTGTTACTGCATCTCTAGGTTAAGTAGTGTTTTTTCACTCTCTTTGATTTTAGTTCTACAGAGCAGACTTGACATTTTCATATCTTGTATGATTTATGGGTTCCTTCCTTTTTTCAATTTTGAACCATTCAGTTTGTGCCTGAGTTCTTGTTTGTAAAGAACTTGAAGTGTGCTTTACATGACTAAAGAGAGAGGAGAGAGACAGAGCACACAGAAACTGTACACACACAGAACCATGATAAAGTTTTCATGATTTCAAAAGAAGGCATGCCACACTTATTCCCGAGTTGCCACAGATAAATCTGCAACAATCTACATGGATCAGTAAATATGTAGAGTTGAGTTTCCATACAGCATTTCTTTAAGAGTCCCAGCATCAGTTGCCTCGTATATTGTGAGAGCCCACGGGAAGAGAGAGGAAACAACACCAGCAGAGAAACAGAGGGCATAGCAGAGGAAGGCTGTAATCACGTGTGAGGATGTTATGCAGTTAAATTAAAAATGGTGCAGCAAGCTCAAAAGAAAGACAAAAAAGAGAGATACAAATCAGATATAAAAGTGAGTCAGGAGAAAGTGGCCTTGCAGTTTTTCACACTAGCTGAAACACTAAATCTCTTTCTCTGAACTAACCGGGTCAGCGGCCTGAATCCATTTATTTAGTGAATCATTCTTTTGGAAAAAACCTTACACAATTTCAACTAGTTAGGCACACTTTACATCTCTTCTCATTCACTCTTAATTGCAAAACTCTGAGCACATCTTCACACACGACTCACAACTGAAAACAAAAATCCTTCTCATGCTATGAATAAACGGAGTTGTGAATATTTATTTTTGAAAATAAAAAACTAAAACAACAAAAACATAAAGAGTCCAGCACACTTGCTTCTCCACCTGCAATTCCAAGATTTCATAAATTACTCTTATCATTTTTGTGTGTAAGCTAATGTAAAAAAAATAACAGTAATCGCAATACTGTATACCAGTGATTCTCAACTGGTGAGTCGGGGAGCCGTTTTCAGTACGTTATGTGAGTGTGTTCCTGGAAAATAAATGTGAAGCGCTTTTTAAACATGTTTGTTTTGTTCTGGTTCTTTGTTCCATCACCTGTTTTTGAAAAATATCTGACATTTAGGCCGCGTTTTTAGGAGTTGGTGGAGGAGTTGGTGCAGTCGAGAACCACTGTTGTATATACTGTATCTAATGTTCATGTCATCTCACATTAGGTTTAGAGAATGAAGAGATTATGTTAATTTTCTACAACATGCTATGATTGAAAATGCAAATACAGAAATAGTATTTTTATACTTAGAATACTTAAAATGTGTTTTAGAATTGGCACAGCTGTGTGCAGCTGACAGAGGATACATCTATTTATTTGGCGTTTAAATAGAGTGTATGTAGTTTTGAATGTAGTGCTTGGTTTTGTATCCAGTGTAAAAATAAATTGGTTTTGTGTGTGCAGTTTTACAATAGAGGAAAACTGCAACTACCCACCTCTGGCTGCAGCTCCAGCTAGTGACGGGTGTCTGTATTTCAGTTTGAGCATGATATTTGACCAGCCTCAAGGGGACAACATATAAAAATATAACCAAGCCATAATTCTAGTGCGGACTATAGCGAAGATGATGACGTGTCACCGGTAAATCGACTCAACAAGCACATGAATGAGAAATAATAATCTGACTGTAATCTGTCTATGACGTTTAAATATTTTTAGGACATTTCAATTTTGTGGTAATGTTCTTGCTAGAGGTGCATTATTATCCTTGAACAAGACATTTCTAAAGAAAATGTAATGGCACTGTGGTGGGTAGATTAGATTAATGATTGCTTGTGATGGATGATTCTGTCCTCTTCAAGGTGCCAGGACACATGCAGGTCAGGGGTGACTTAAAGACCTCCTGGAATGATCCACTTTTGACCGTCTGGGACACAATGGCCATGTGCAGATAAGGGCGACGCTTTATCTCCAAACTCTCTGACCTTAACACAGCATAGAAAAAGTTAAGTAAGCATTAATAAGCTCAATGGAATCTGCACACATCAAGGGATGCAGAGCAGATCCTTTATGTACACATCTACAGCACAATACCCAATGATCACCAGATTAAAAAGTGAAAGAGCAACAAAGAAGGGACTACATGTCAGACGATGGAGAGCTGCGAGATTAAAAAAGATTTAATTAATGAGCACCCCTACAATGATGCAACTTGAAGCCATTGTGTCTAATTGATGCTCATTTATTAACCAAAGAGCTGAGGGGTGGAGATTTTAATTACATAGCTTTCTCTTTTCTTCTTTGTATTCATATCTTTTTTTCATTGTTTAAATCCCTTTGCTGATCTGTTTATTGCCCTCCCCGTAGCTGTTTCTTCATCCCCTCCTCTCTGCTCTTTTCTGTGTTCTTCACACGTTCATGGACAGCTTAAGCTCAGCATGAGCTCAGCTCAGTCTGTGCTAATTATTCATTATCGCAGCGTTCAAACAGAGACTCCTCTCTTTGACACACTGAAAAAAACAACTCATAAGATTTACTTAAAAAAATCCTTGTAACAATTTCCACTCAAAATTTTGGAGTAAATTTTACTGCTGTAATATCAAGTACAACTTCCTTAATAGTATTAAGTAAAATCTACTTATTTCTTATGGTAACATTTGTGAAAATATTAGGTAAGTGTTACTTAGTTTTAATGATGTTTCAATTTTTATTACTCACACAAATTAAGTAAAATACAGTATATTTTTTGTATACTTATACATTTTCAACATCAAAATATTGAGTAGATTTTATTTATCTTTGATAATTACTGTCATAAAATGATCAAGTACTTTTTATCTTATTTTTTCCTGTTTGATCATTTTAATTACTTAGTTGTTTGAAGTTATATTACCTAATCTAATTATGTAAATGTTGCAAATTGTCTTTTGATAAATATTACCAAATACTATTAATAATCACAGAGCTAAAATACAATTCTATTTATAAACATTTGTCAGGTACCTAATGTAACACCTCATTTTTACAACAGCCGTGTAGAATTGTACATTGTGCTAACATTTCACATGACAAAATTGAAATAAAATCTCAGCAGCAGTAAATGCTGATAGGCATCAATAAACAAAAAATGTTTACCTTTACTGAGTGATCATTATGCTCTACAGAAAATAAAATGCATATCACTGGAAACTCAAAATGTTTTTGACCCCTGGAAGCATAAAATTAAGGGCACATCAGATGACAAAAACAGATTATGAGGGTTTGACCTGACAAAATATGCTGTACTGACATGAACAACATTCTAAACCACAACATTACCATTAACATATTTATATGAGCATTCGGTTAAAACATAAAGCACCCCAAAACAGGTTGAGTACAACATCAAATCCTCTGTTAAAACCTTGATTAAAAATTTACTAGACAAAGAATACAATTTTAACTTTTTCTTTACCTTGTGAACATGAATGACAGCAGTCGCCTTGGTTGACAACAAAATTAGGAACATTTAAGAAAGAAAACTCCTAACATCTTGTTAGCCATTAGACTGCACTGTGTACCTCCTGGACAGCAACTTCAACTTCAAAGCATGTACTTTTGGTGACAGCTTTATCCCATTCAGTTCCAGGAAAAGTTTCTGAAACACCTCAAAGGTGTAGCGCAGAGCAGAGGGGTATGCAAGGTTGAGGGCATAAATCAGTCCCATAAGCAACGTGCAAGCTTTGGCTGTGCTGCTGCATCCTGTCAATACCTCCTTCCCTTCAAGAAGGATGGAAACATCTACTGGTTCTTCTCCATCAGTACCATGGACGACCAGGATCTTGACTATGTGGTGAGTGGCATCACTGCGATTGTCCTCCTGCATAAAATTCACAAGAAAAAAAAAAACTATTCAGTTGACAATAATTCAAGAGTAGGAATACCAGCCTTCTATAGACTATTACAAGAAGTGTTGTAAAATGTATTTAAAAATTATGCCTGAGTAAAAGTATTTAAATTTGGTGGTAAAATACTACTTTGGTGCAGAAAAAAATGTTATTAAAATCACCCGTAGATATGGTACTCTAGTAAAGGTCTTCAGGTATTTGATATTATACTGTGCTAAGTACAATTTGATATCAGATTGATATGCAAAACAAGTACACAGACATTTGAAGTATACATTTATTTATGTGTATGTATTTGCTTAGTTACACTCCACTGAGGACAAGCTAAAATGGGTTGCAGCAATACTGAGTTTTTTTTCCTTTCTGGTTAAAGTCATAGTTTATTCACTCAACCGTAATTTAATAAAAAAATGAAACCTGTCTTTGTTTCTTTTTTTCTTGCTTTACCAAAAACATACTGAACTGTGACTTCAAAACCCAGGTATATGTCACTAAAAATGTATTTAGAAAAAAAAACATGGTTTACCAGGCAATCTTCGAAAAGTTCCTCTAATTTCTCACCAAGGTATAGTATGAGGCCACGGATAACTGCGTCACGTCTCATGTCAGTGCTTGGGTTCTGTGAAAAGAGTAATAGTGTCAGTTCCAAACAATAATTTGTACACAATAAACTATCATGTCAGAAGATACGAATACTTTTGCAAGGAGCAGTGGTTTGTTTTCAAAGAGCAAGAGCCATGTGTGGAAAGGAGAAGTATGTTACAGAGAGTGAGAATTTGTGTTGTCTAGGACAGGGGCAGAATGTGTGTGAAGCTGTGACACACAGTAGATCTGTCTTCCTGCGAAAGATGTGAACAGGAACCCTTTAAATCAAACATACCTGACTCAGTTTATCCAGATGGGGCCTCAGCCTGGTCCCCACAACACCTCCCTTGGCTTTCATCAGGGCAGTAAGCTTTGGTGTATAGTGGTCAAGTTTGTACATGAAGCTTTGCTCTAGAGAAATTGTAGTGATTCTCCGAAACTCCTCCTTGATCTGAAATGACAAGGATTCAGAAGTATGACATTAGTTAATGGCAAAACAGTGAAAAATGAATTCTACAGGTGTTTTGAATGCAGGTAAAGGTGAAAAGCCACTTCTTAAAATGATCAACTTGGAGAAAGGCCATTTTCTCTTGAATCACCTTAGCATTGTTCCTGATCTTTACTTCCTTAAGAAGCTGCTGTCTCTCCATCTCAAGACTGTCCGTACTTTCTCCACTTGGGTGTGGAGGAAGGTAGTTGACCTCGGCCCTCTTTGGTCTCTTGCAATTTTTTGCAGGATTTTTCTCACCAGGGGATTTCCTTTTTAAGGAGTTGATATCAAGCTCAGGACAAGGTACTTCACGTCTTCTCATTTTGGAATGGTAATTAGCCATCTTGTATTTCAGGCACTGCTGCCACCCGTACATGCCTGAAAATGAGGTGCCAGGCTCTCTAAGGCATGGATGCTTTTTTAACAGAGCTTCTACAACTGCCAATATTTGAGGACCAGTAGGCTAGGCAGTGAACTGAAATATTTCGTCGGCAAGTTTCTCAAGTATGTCAGAGTTCATGCTTGGATTCTGAATGAGGGAGCCATCATTTTCATAAGCCACATTTCCTGCTTGAAGGAGGATTTCAACATTAAATGAAAAGGTGGGTATCACAAAATTAGTTGGCCAAGGTTCTGATAGATGCTCTGGTGGCTGTGGTAGAATGATGGTGTCAGATGAGCTAACCGAGGAATTGTCATCCAGGAAAGACAGAGTCATGGACTCGGGAGTGGAGGACGCAGCAGGTTCATTGATGGGGGTCGATGTGAGAAGAACAGAAGGTTCACTTTGAACCAGTTTGATTGTGTCTTTGTCCTGAACAATATCAGTTGATGTTAGAGTGAAAAATTGGTTATCAAAGTCTTTGTCCATGTACATAACAGTAAAACTCCCTTGTAGATTAAAATGATCCTGTGCAGTGGCCAAAAGTTCTTCTACTGTACAAGGAATCCCACCTGGTAGGGGTAACTTATGAATTTTAGTCTCTTCGATTATAACTCGTAGCTGGGCAGGGGCTGACATCCTTATAGCCTTGGTCCAGCAGAACTGAAAAAAACAAATAAAGAACAAAGACACAATTCAATGAGACAACAGGGAATAACACTTTCCCACAAGAGACTTTGAAATTTGATAGCAAGCATTTTAAAAAACAGTTCAAATGTGGAATAATTTTTAAAAAAAGTCAAGAGGAGATGGTACATAACAATAAGGCACAAACTGGTTTGAAGGGATACTTTACCTAGTTTGATAAGCAGATATGGTGTTTAAGATAAATATTGTGTCATGCATACATGACTAGGGCGGTGCAATGTTTGATCAGTCACTGAACAGCCCAGCTCTCCTGACTCCCTCTGGTCACCTCTTGTCCCGGCCAGCTAAATACAAAAACTGTTCTGCCTCCTGTTAATGAACACAATTTTATAAGAGTAACTAACAATTTATAGATTAATTTACAGCCATTTTCCACTGCTGTGTTTGTCTCTTGACTGTGGCACGCAGCTTCAAAGATACCTGCACCGCCATGTTAACAGTTGAGAGATGATGTTTCGAGGTGAAAGCTCAGAGAAAACAACTAAAAAACCGAAAAACTTCGGTATAGCACCGTGTTATATTTGCGCTACACGTGACAGTACATGAGACAAAAACAACAGCTCTGAAAAATATATAGTATCTCGCAAATTAACCGCATGGTGTGTGACTCCAGTGGAGTGAACAGGATAGCTAGCATCAAGCATTCATCTGTACAGTGATATTCCACATAAACCTTGGAGTGTAGACCTGTTTCTCCCTCATTTTGTGTGGCCAGAAGTTTAATAAGTCACAGCTGTTATAAAGTCATAAGTCATAAAGCTGTTACTTACCTGAGAGATTCCGGAGATATTCACAACTCTGTCTGCCAACGGACGTCTGCGCGGTACTTTCGTTTGTCCCAAGGCGCATGCGCTGATTCAAACGCACTCTAAAATTGTGTTGTAAAATTTACTCAGTATTTTAGTGTTTCTAGCAGGGACTAAAAAACATTTAAATGGTATGAGAAAATCCATAATAAGACTTACTCCTTCCACACAGTCATTTTCAACACATGAATAAATTGTGTACATACATGTAATTTTACTTGACAAAATCTAGTTCCCGCTGAAACTTAACATTTTATTGTAGACAGTTCAATTAGTATATTTTACTACACCACCAAGTTCATTTTAACAGTGCATGCAGTTTTGTGTTTCAACTTGATTTGGGATTTTTTTTGAAAAATCAGCAAATGATCCATTCTTTCACTTTGGTTTAATGACTGTTACGGCTAGTACCAAATCTGGACCCAAAAGCACGACTCAGACAGGAAGGATACGTGTACAAAAAGATTATTCCAAACGTGACTCAAAAATGTGCAAGGGAAGGGGTAGTGCAAAGTCCAGAGGTCCCAAGTGACAGTGTCCTTGAATCCAAGTGCTGTGTCCAAAGCGCACAGGTGAATGAAGAAAACACAAAGGATCACACGAGCTGGTGAAACAATGTGGCGGCGAGGTGAGGCAGAGGGATGTCTTTGTAGATGAGACCCTTGATCACCAACGAGCTGCACCTGGCGCAGCCTGGAAAAACGAAAACCCGCCCACCACACTCACACAGACACAGACAGGGGGAGAGACACATGAGGATAAAACAGACAGGGAATGACAAACAACACAGCAAAAGGAGAAGGGAGGGCTGCCATGATGTGAATCATGACAAAAATGACTTTTAAAATGACTCCTCCATCAGACATCTTCTGTTGAGCTCATCATTCCCTGGTGCGTATATTGTATTCAAAAAGAAGGATTATGCATCCAAACTGTACCACCATTGTTACATATAACACCATAGCCTATTTTCCCCAGCCTTCCTCAGATCAAGTGTGCACTTTTTGTTTATCTGTATAAAAACTATGTTTAAAAAAAATCTCCAAAACGTTACATACTATGGCAATTACAAGATCCCATACCTGGAAAAGTATTGAGTAACTTTCCTATAGCTACACAATCAGTTAGCATGAAGCTTAACAGATCCCTCGTGTCTAGTTGCAGTTGCCAAACTTTGACATAACTATTCCTGTTGGGTGGAGGGGTTAATGGTGGAGTCTGAAGCATTTGTTAAACACAACATTCACACTGGTCCCCTCCATTTTCTTTAAATGCACTCTGTGAGTAGGTTACATACACTGAAAGATTTTTTTCTCATAGTCCACTGCAAAGCTCCTACATTACACCTTTTGTACATTTTGTGTTTTTTATTTTTTATATTTTACATTTTTAAATTATATTATACATATTGTTATAGCTTCTTATACTGTATTATTTAAGTTGTTGCTAGTTCTGCTTTATTTCCTTGTTAATTGTTTTGCACCAATACACCAAGTCAAATTCCTTGTATGTGTAAATGTACTTGGCAATAAACCCTGATTCTGATTCTGATTCTGATTCTCATCGCCCCCAGAAGCTCACACTCACTGCAGGACATAATGTGTACATTTCCCGCTTGTGCTGTACCTACACTGCAAGCTACCATATGCTAGCACAAGCTAACCACCGGTGGTTAGCACCTGCTTATCCAACAGAAAGCAGGTTAAAAGCCAGTGTAAGGTTCCCCCTTGTGTTTGAATGATCTTTATCCATTTGCCACTTTGCCCATAATCTGATTAGATTCTCTCTCCTTTGCAGCTACGTCCACATAAGTAATTTTCCGTGGACTGAATAGCGTCCAATCCCTGAATTGTATCCACTCCTAAACTCACCTGCGCCCTGTCATTGGCTGGAAATTGGGGGAAATACACCAGCTCCTCTCCCAGAAACGTCCCGAGTCAACCAAAACAAAAAACAAAAACACTAAAATCCAGGCTCTGCTATACCCACCACACAGGTATTGAACTGCATTACGTTTGTATAAGTCTATATTCATTTATTTTAAGGAAAAAGCTACTGACTTTATCAAACGGTTATTATTTGAAATATTACCTAGAGAGTGTGATTTACTATCCCTAGAAAGTAGTGATAAAAATACATGCTTCACAATAACGTGAGAAGCTGTTACTTTGAATCAGCTGACAGTCCATCTGTCAAATGAAATCTTCATCTCTATCCTGTCTCACTTCACCTCAGATCCCCTCCCCATGTCACCCATTCCCGCAGAGAGCCATCCATCAGTGTCAATCATCAACACCTCACTGTAATGCAGGTTTTTTAAGAGTACCAGACGTAGTCACTCCATCACTGTCAGTCATCTGAACTGTAGTATATACTGTACATCGAGACAAACATTCAGTTTGAGGAAAAAGAAGAGACAACTAAGCCATCAAATACAACAAGATTGAAGATCAAAATAAAGTGATGGACATTAACGAGGGATATGGGTGAAAACTTAGTTACAAGTAGCTGTTTAATATGCAGAAATGATTAAACAGTAGCACATCTGTTATCCTATCTCTTCCAATCAGAAGTACAGTTGCAAGAAAAAGTATGTGAACCCTTTGAAATTTCCTAGTTTTCTGATTAAATTGGTCATTAAATGTGTTCTGATCTTCATCTGTTGAACACAACATGTAAACATTCACAGTGCAGGGTGGAAAAAGTATGTGAACCCTTGGATTTAATAACTGGTTGACCCTCCTTTGGCAGCAATAACCTCAAACAAATGTTTCCTGTAGTTGCAGATCAGACCTGCACATCGGTCAGGAGGAATTTTGGACCATTCCTCTTTACAAAACTTTTTCAGTTCAGCAATATTCTTGGGATGTCTAGTGTGAATCGCTCTCTTGAGGTCATGCCACAGTATCTCTATCGGGTTGAGGTCAGGACTCTGACTGGGCCACTCCAGAATGCGTACTTTCTTTTGCTGAAGCCATTCTGTTGTTGATTTACTTCTGTGCTTTGGGTCGTTGCATCACCCATCTTCTGTTGAGCTTCAATTGGTGGACAGATGGCCTTAAGTTTCCTTGCAAAATGTCTTGATAAACTTGGGAAACTTCAAACGTGCAGCAATGTTTTTTTGGACAGCAGTGGTTTTCTCCGTGGCGTCCTCCCATGAACTCTATTCTTGTTTAGTGTTTTACGTATCGTAGATTCTTCAACAGAGATGTTAGCATGTGCCAGAGATTTGTGTAAGTCTTTAGATGACACTCTAGGATTCTTCTTCACTCATTGAGCATTCTGCGCGAATGTGATTCATTCTCTTGCAGTCATCTTTACAGGACGGCCACTTCTAGGGAGAGTAGCAACAGTGCTGAACTTTCTCCATCTATAGACCATTTGTCTTACCGTGGACTGATGAACATCAAGGCTTTTAGAGATTCTTTTGTAATCGTTTCCAGCTTTATGCAAGTCAACAATTCTTAATCGTAGGTCATCTGAGAGCTTTTTTGTCAAGGCATGGTTCACATCAGGCAATGCTTCTTGAGAATAGCAAACTCAAAACTGTAGTGTGTTTTTTATAGGGCAGGGCAGCTTTAACCAACACCTCCAATCTTGTCTCATTGATTGGACTCCAGGTTGGCTGACTCCAATTAGCTCTTGGAGAAGTCATTTGCCTAGGGGTTCACATACTTTTTCCACCCTGCACTGTGAATGTTTACATGTTGTGTTCAACAAAAACATGAAAACATATAATTGTTTGTGTGGTATTAGTTTAAGCAGACTGTGTTTGTCTATTGTTGAGACTTAGATGAAGATCAGAACACATTTAATGACCAATTTAATCAGAAAACTAGGAAATTCCAAAGAGTTCAAATACTTTTTCCTGCAACTGTATATCTTGCCTCCTTTTGACTCAAAGATCATCTCCATATTTTGTTTCTGATGGATTACAGATTGTTTAAAGAGCATCCCAGATATAATAAACACATTTATATATAAATAATAAGAGAATGTTGTATATTTTTTGCGAGTTGTCTACTTGAGTGGCAAAAAACAAACAGAAATGTAATAACTCAACCAGAATTTTCATCTAAATGAGAAATTATTTTTATTAAAGATTGACTGATCACAAACAAACCCTCCAGTCCAGTGTTTCTCAACTGGTGGGTTGGGACCCAAAAGTGGGTCGCAGAGCAATTTTCAGTGGGTCACTAATGTGTGCTAGGAAAAAATATTGGGTCAAAAAGTCTATGATGCTTTTTTCGTCACATTTTTCTTTATTCTGTCCTGTTTTGTTTTGTCTGAGGTCCAAACTGCACAAATTTTTATTGAATAAATCTGTTTGGTTGAAAAATATCTGGTTTCGGGTCACGATTTTTCATGAAGGAACTGGTAATGGGTCCTGAGGCTAGACCAGTTGAGAACCACTGCTCTGGTCCCCTGTCATCCATTCATAGTTTGTGGCTTTTTCCATGAAGACCAAGTCTGGATAATACTCCAGACTTGAAAAAAAAACCTTTCCTCACTTACTGGTAAGTATTTGCCTCTAGAATAAGAGAAAGCTGACCATTGCTTTATTCAGGCATTGATTTTAACTGCCTTGCTACTCTGTAAACTATAGGAGGACTGTGACTAGTTGGTAGAGATGGTTGTCCCACAACCTGAGGACTTGGGGATTTGATCTCCAGCTCCTGCAGACACATATCGGATTTGTCCTAGGGCAAGACAATTAACCCCAAGTTCCTCCGGTTGCTTGGGTTGCTGTGCATTAATGTGTATAAATGGGATAAGTTAATTCTACTTTAAGATTTATTTTTGGGCTTTTTGTGCCTTAAATGTAGAGATGGGACAGTGGCTAGAGTTGGAAATCAGGGAGAGAGAGAGAGTAGGGAATGACATGCAGGAAAGGAGCCACAGGTGGGATTCGAACCTGGACCGCCCGCTTGGAAGACTACAGCCTCCATACATGGTGATGTCAAGATGTGTCGCTTGCAGCTGCGTGTAGTGTGTATGTTTATTTAGTATTTTACTAGACTACGTATAAGTGTTACAGCTACAACTATTGCGTGTTGTTGAGTTCTTAACCAAGACTTTACCATACTATCTGGGGGAACGGGAGTGGAAATATGTGCCTGATGTCGGCCAGATGGACGGAGCGAAGTCCCGTATACACCCGTCAGGAACTGCTAAGCCTGGTACATGGCTCAATGTTCGGGATTCGCCATGACATACCGAAGGAACTCTTACAGAGGAGACATCAAGGAACGCGTGCAGGGGTGAACAGAAACAAGAGGAGGTTGGCGAAAACATGGAGAGAGACTTTTAAACCAGCCCTACCATCTATCACAATGGGAAATGTTCGCTGCCTAAATGTTCGCTAACCCAACAAATTAGACGAATTAGAAACCCTGGTCAGGTACCAGAAATTGTACCGGGAGAGCAGCATCGTATGCCTGACAGAGACATGGTTGACGGAAAACACGCCCGATTCTCTGATCAGTTTCACCGGCTTCAGGACAATACGAGCGGACAGGGACACTGGAGCAAGCGGTAAGCAGAAAGGAGGGTTAGTTTAAGACCATATTACCTACCCAGGGAGTTC